CAAAGAAAATAATAAAAAGTCCAGCACTAGGTAATCCTTCTGTAAGATTTTTCTAGTGCTACTTTGGGGGTGCTCACTGCTAGGGACCCTCAAGTAGGGGAAGATTGAAAATGTTTTGTATTCTACAGTGAGTGTCTTAAGCCACAGATCATTTTGTTCTGTGATCACTTTGGATCTGTGTAGCCCTTTTGGGTCCCTTCCCTCCTTGGGTTGTGCTGTTGTTTCAGGGTTTGGTCAGAGAAGCATGTAATCTCACACTCTCCCTCACCATCCAGGGCTCCCTCTCCCACCAAACGCAAAGACCGCTCTGATGAGAAGTCCAAGGATCGCTCTAAAGATAAAGGGGCCACCAAGGAGTCCAGCGAGAAGGACCGCGGCAGGGATAAGACTCGAAAGAGACGCAGAGTGTACGAAGCAGTACCGGGGGGGGCTGACTGACCTGCCTCTGTGGTCCTGTCCCTCCTTCCCACAGAGGGCTGTGTTTTCTCCATTTTACAAAGAAAATATACCCTCAGGTTGTGTTGTGTGTTCATTTGTTTTCTTCCCAGAGAGCTTATGTACGAACCAGAGGCAGGGAGGGGGAGAAAGCACCCCTTGGGGGAGTGTGGCCACATCACAGTCCCTTCTCTTTCTCTCCATCCTGTTGGGATTTGGAGCACACATATACTGGGTGTACTCCTCAAGCCACTGGGCCAGGACTCGTACTAGCCAGCCATGTGGAGTCCGGCTCCCCCATCCACCAGGCCACGGGGCCCACTCACTCTTAAGATGGTTAACAGAGATCCTAGTCCCTAGACTGGTTTAGGGTTTGTTCTGATTTTGTTAAATACATGATGGTATTTGGGTCTCTTTGCTTTGTTTTCCATAAAGAGCAAGGACTGTGACATTTGGGAGTATCTTTTTTCTTAGTGTCTTTTATTCAGAATTCTATAATAAGTGTATTGCTCTAGTTTTTTTGTTTGTTTGTTTCTTTTTGTTTGTTTGTTTCTTTTTGCTATAGGGTGCATGCGCTTGCCAGAGAGACAGAAAGCAAGAAATCACCCCCCAGGGGGGGATGGCCACGCCACAATCCCTTCTCCATTCTCCTCTCAAGATTTTGGGCAGGCACACACACGTCCAGTGTGAGTTTTTAAGCCACCAAGTCCAGGACTTGAACCGTGGTCAACTACATGGGAGTCTAGCGACAAAGCCATTAT